ATGTTGTTACTTTGTTTTTCCGTGAAAGACTGACAAACAAACAGACACACACTTATGTATTTATAACATTCATGGATTTAAATATGAGATGTAAAGTCAGCGTAATCGGAACCAGTATCCAATGTCAATTTCATAGGTATCATTTTTCAATGTGATTGTTTCTGACCAAGTTGTGTCTGGCGCATATTATGTATTGTTTTGTGATTACTTTTTTAAACAATGCTTATATGGGGTGTCCTTACAAATGATATGTGTAGGTTTTTAGATTACAAGTACCTTTACTACTGTAGTACTGTATATACTATATCGTCTTGAAAATTGTGCATTGCTTATTATGATTGTACAATTTGTCAATCATTTTTTTTACAATTGTATTATGATACAAATGATACAGCAAGGTGGTGGTTGTAGGATTTAGATTAACTGTAGGTATACCTACTTAAAAATAGAATATAAAAATGTGTTCACTTAAACTGCATATATTTGCGACTGACTTAGTGGCGGGCGCAGCCTCAAAGCATGCACACATACATAGCGTATTTATTATTCCTACGCACATACATATATATCATGTTGTCCTTACAGCAATTTTAAACTTATAATTATTACTAGCTTTTACCCGCGGCTTCGCTCGCGTCACAAAAGGATAAAAAGTAGCCTATGTGACATATACCAATACACACAGCGCCATCTATACCAATAATTTCGTTTTCCCTTGAGAATACAATTTTTTTCTGGGATAAAAAGTACCCCATTATTTAATTCAGGCTTCTAACTTTACGTCTGCAAAAATTCAAAGCAATCGGTTAAGTAGTTACGGCGTGGAAGCGGAACAAACAAACAAACTCACTTTCCCATTTATAATATTAGTAAGGATAAGGATTATAAGCTTTGGTTTCCTCACGATGTTTTCCTTCACCGTTTGTCAGTGGTGTCTGAATAATCTTAGAAAGTACATAGCACGGTAAAAGTCACATTAGTACTTGCTGTTGGTAGGTTTTGAACCCGCACCTTTATGCATGAGAAGCGGACGTATTAAAACGTCCAGCCACCACAACTCTTTAGAGAACAAATTGACAAAACCAAAATTAAGTTAGACGACCTCGGATACTTTAGCTAAATTCTAATATAAAGGACAAGATTAAATAAAATTCCCAAAAGAAGAAAAAGTACAGCAGGTAAGTGGTCGGGTACCTCCTGTGACATGTTTTGTAGTAGGTACTTATGTACCGACTTTATTTTTAGGAATTCAATTGACTATTGATTCTATTGCAAAACTATTCAGGGACCCTTGACATTTTGGTAATTAGTATTACCATTGTTTGGACTTGCGTATACTTAACTTCGGTGTGACACAAAGCGCGGTCCAAACTCGATCTCGAAACCTAATTATTCGTTGTCGGTTTTAACCGCTTCAATGCACCAATATGACGAGACACAATAGAAAATACTGATATAG